CCTTCGGGGGCCTTCCCCGGGCGTCAAACAGTCGAATCAGAACTGGTACATACAAGGGGAATTCAACTGTTTAATTAAAACAAAGCATTCCGATGGTCCCTGCGGATGCTCACGCAATGTGATTTTTGCCCAGTGCTCTGAATGTCAAAGTGAAGAAATTCAACCAAGCGCGGGTAAACGGCAGGAGTAACTATGACCCTCTTAAGGTAGCCAAATGCCTCATTATCTAATTAGTGACGCGCATGAATGGATTAACGAGATTCCCACTGTCCCTGTCTACTATCCAGCGAAACCACAGCCAAGGGAACGGGCTTGGCAGAATCAGCGGGGAAAGAAGACCCTGTTGAGCTTGACTCTAGTCCGACTTTGTGAAATGACTTGAGAGGTGTAGTATAAGTGGGAGCCGAAAGGCGAAAGTGAAATACCACTACTTTTAATGTTATTTTACTTATTCCGTGAATCGAAGACGGGGCACTGCCCCTCTTTTTGGACCCAAGGCCCGTCTCAGCGGGCCAATCTGAGCGGAAGACATTGTCAGATGGGGAGTTTTGCTGGGCGGCAAATCTGTTAAAAGATAACGCAGGTGTCCTAAGATGAGCTCAACGAGAATAGAAATCTAGTGTGGAACAAAAGGGTAAAAGCTCGTTTGATTCTGATTTTCAGTACGAATACGAATCGTGAAAGCGTGGCCTATCGATCTTTTAGACCTTCGGAATTTGAAGCAAGAGGTGTCAGAAAAGTTACCACAAGGATAACTGGCTTGTGGAAGCCAAGCGTTCATAACGACGTTGCTTTCTGATCCTTCGATGTCGGCTCTTCCTATCATTGTGAAGCAGAATTCACCAAGTGTTGGATTGTTCACCCACCAATAGGGAAAGTGAGCTAAGTTTAGACCATCGTGAGGCAGGTTAGTTTTACCCTACTGATGGCAGCGTCGTAATAGTAATTCAACCTAGTACAAGAGGAACCGTTGATTCGCACAATTGGTCATCGCGCTTGGTTGAAAAGCCAATGGCGCGAAGATACCGTGCGCTGGATTATGACTGAATGCTTCTAAGTCAGAATCCGGGCTAGAGCGACGCGTACGCCCACTGCCCGATTGCTGACCTACACTAGGGACCTCCTAATCCTTAAAGGCACGTGTCGTTGGTGAAGCCCCTACGACGGAAGAGTCGCGAGGGCCGCCTTGAATCGTAATTCCCACCGAGCGGCGGGTAGAATCCTTTGCAGACGACTTAAATATGCGACGGGGTATTGTAAGTGGCAGAGTGGCCTTGCTGCCACGATCCACTTAGATTCAGCCCTATGTCGCTCGGATTCGTCCCTCCCCCTCAATCTCAATCGATCCTCTCGATCTTGTCCCTCCTTACTCGACACTTATAAATTTTCTCCGATATCGTCCCAGAGGTCCTCGACCATAGAAATCATGGAATCATCGTGAAAAAACTTCTAAGTCCAAGAGAGGACAAGGGCCTTTGGCTGATTTCGCCCATCATGGGGGTGCTTGGCTGATTTTGTTGCCCATGCACCAAGGCATGGGCAGGCAGCCCCTCGGTTGCACAGCTGCTTGCAGGAAAACTGCCCACGGCAAGGGCAGACAGCCCCTCGGTTGCGCGGTATGCGGAGGCGTTGCTGCATGCACAGTGTGCGGGGGCGTTACTGCATGCGCGCTGGGGTGTTGCTGCTTGCGTATGCGGGCGTGGCTGATTTTGATAGGCACCAAGGCTAGGTTCGAATGAAGCATTTTTTCAGAAAGGAGGCCAATTAAAAAATATTTTGCTGGGCACCAAGGCTGGGGGTTGAAATCAAGCATTTTTTTTGAAAAGGAGGTTAATTAAAATATTTTGCTGGGCACCAAGGCTGGGGGTTGAAATCAAGCATTTTTTCGGAAATGAGGTTAATTAAAATATTTTGCTGGGCACCAAGGTTGGGGGTTCAAATCAAGCATTTTTTCGGAAAGGAGGTTAATTAAAATATTTTGCTGGGCACCAAGGCTGGGGGTTCAAATCAAGCATTTTTTCGGAAAAAAGGTTAATTTCGGCACCAAAAACCCAACTATCGAATTTTAGCTCAAAATAGCCCCTTGGTGCCTTGGCCAAGGGCAAATGCAGCAGCAGTGGGCTGCTTTTGCCCTTGCTGTGCACCAAAATCTTTTTTTTGAAAAAACTCTCGAGTTCAAAATCTGCCGATTAATGTATATATCACAATTCAAATCGGGATTTTAGGAGCACAACAAAACAACCCCCGACCAAAAATTCATAGTATATGATTTTTTATGATTTTTCAAAGTTTTAATCTTCGAAAAATCATAAAAAATCATGTAGTTGTGCAAATTGCGTTTTTCTTTTTTGTTTAGCTTCCTTGCATTTTTCTTTACCTCTATACAAAAAATCAGCTCAAAATTCGAAGTTTTACCCATTCTTAGGAGGGAGGTGAGAGCTTAGACATAGAACATGTCCCCTCCTAGCACTTTGCCAAGTGCAAATATGGCTCTTTAGGGGGGAGGTGGTTCTCTCAATCAGGTTGCCCTTGCTGCTGTCCCTTGCATGCTGTGCCGTGCTCGACTCCCCCCACCTAGGCACAGACCCGATTGTTGCTTGACCCTCGTGAGAGCCATGGCCGATGTCCGGTGGCCACCACCGGCGGTGGTGGCTGGGCCAACTCTAGCCACCGGCCAAAAAATTTCCTATTTGCGGGAAATGAGGCTGGGAAACAAGAAAGGTGGCTGAGCCCCATGTTTTGAAGCTCCAAAGCAACCCCATACAATAATGCGTGGGCAAGCTGTGGAAAATCTGGGTGTGGTGCTAGGCACCATTGTTTGCAAATATCAGCTAATAAAAAAGTTACATGCATAATAAAAATTTCCAGGGCCACAACTTGAACTTTTGTCCTTAGAGTCAAAATCTAAGTGAACCTCTTAACCACTTGGGCAACTCCATGATTTTAAGATTGTTCATACCTCATCATACATATGAGATCATCCAAAAACTTTCAGGGTTGCAGCTTGAACCCGTGTCCCTGGAGTCAAAATCTAAAGTGAACCTCTTAGCCACTTGGGTAACTCCATGATTTTGAGATTATTCCCTCATTATATGTATCTCTTATTTGTATTTCAAATAACTCCGATTATCCAAAAATTTGGGTGGGCGCAGCTTGAACCTTTGTTCTCGGGGTAAAAGTCTAAGTGAAGTTCTTAACCGCTTGGGCAACTCCATGATTTTTACATTAATGCTGCCTCATTATACATATAAGTTATTTGTATTTCAAATAACTCCAATTATCCTAAAATTACATCCAATACCATATTTGGATAGGAGAGACACAGCTTTGCTTGTGAAATCGAAATTTTATTTATTTCCTTAATGAGAAAATAAGCTCCAAAAATGTGATTTTTAGAAAAAAGCTTATTTTTTACCTGAAAAACTCATTTTTTGGGCTCGTCACAAGCCCTTTGGAGCTTGCCCACCGTATTCTACATCCAACTCTATGCAGTTTAAAAGAAAAAAAATCACCCCGATCGGACGTCGGATCGCAAAGTTATTGTCTTCCGAACATTTTTCGACAATCCAAACCCCTTAGGGGGTTAATTTAAAAAGGGCATTGCCTAGGGGGGTCCTTAAATTTTTTTCACACGTATAAGACAACGTCTCTCAACCCTAATCCCTCAAATATCTTATCTGAATTTTTTTGACGATTCCACATCTTTTAGAGCGAAGTGTCAATGCTGTGGAGGTTGCTGCCAGTCTTTGATTTTGATGAGTTTTAGTTTCAAAGGCGCCCAAAAATTTCCTGCCAATCTTGGTGTGTATTGTGGCTTGCCACCGTTTACAAAATGCAATTTGATTCTGTAATAAGTCGTACCTTCCTTCACTTCTTCCCTTTGGCTGTGACATTTTGTGATCTGACTAGAATATCACGTTTGGGCTACAAAAGAGGGAAAAGAAAAAGGCTTCACCGTAAGTCATACCAAAGAGTGAGCCTGAGTTCACTACATGACAGTTTATGGTAATATGCATATCATCTGTGATGACTGGTTGTGCTTTAGATGTGCCTCTTTCTGTTGAGTGATAAGTCCACACTAGACCATCGGAGAGTAAGAATTGCCCATTCAACTTTATTGGTTTCTGGTGTAGTTGGCTGTGTGTTATGCATGTACTCTGATACATCTGTTTGCATTTTGCGGGTATATTGAATTGATTAGTGGAATTCTTATTTTATTTTCTATTAATTTTAGAGAATGATATTGTTTAGTACTCATGTCAGTTCTACTTGACAGGAAACGTCTATCAAGATGTTGGGTTACCGTTTTGAGCTACCCTTGGATCCCCATGTAAATAAAACCGGAGACATCTGGCACATGCATATCAAGGTAGTCTTGCTGTTGGGTTTCGTATATCTCTATCTATGTTTATGGGTTATCTGAAATTGTTGTTTCGGGCTTACTTGAAAAATGGTTCTCATTCAAAATTCAGTTTTGAAAATTGTTTTGGTGAATTATGTATACTTTGGATTATGGACTCCAATTCCTGAAGATTAATAAATAAGTTGAGATATTATAATTTATGTTTATTGTGTGATCAGTAGCTAGAGGAAATGTAAAGTTTTGGTTTTGAACTTCTTTTCATTTGGGAGCTATTTGAAATATTACTAGGTTAGGAGCTTTTATATTTGGGAAGGAATAATTTCTAGTAGTCAGTTGAACAATATGATGATCATTATGCTGACTCAGTAGCATATCTTTTTGGCCATTAAATGGTTTTCTACAGGTGTCAATTCAACAAGTATCGAGGTTCTATTCATTTTGGTGATGTGGTTAATGTTTGCAGTTTTGCGGTTGCTAACACATATCAAGGTAAGCTTACTAGTGTTGCAATTTTATCATATTAAAGTTGTTTGATTTCAGAGTGATGATCAGTTTTACTCTTTGCCATCTGTCTACTTGAGAATTTAAAAAAAAACCATTATACCAAGTTTCCAATTTCCTTACAATGGGGATGACATTTTTCTTTGCAGTGAGAAACTTCAAGTCATTAAGACCTCAAAAGTCTGTTGTAAGGAATAGTTATCAAGCCGTTATGGAGCCATCTTGGAGGCTACTCACCCCTTCGGTAAGCTTAGATGTAATCCAACGCAACTCAGATCAACAAAGCCTATCCCAACTACTTCGGGTAAGAAGCAAATAAAGAAAATGGATTGTTTTATTTATTTATTTACATTTATAGTTCTTGAGTTCTCTATTCATCTCCGTTGCTTTGAAGTTATAATGAATTTGTCTTGATGTCGTATGTCAGAGGGTTCCCAATCTAATTGGAGGTAGATCTGTTGATTCCCAGTCTTTTCCATCATGGAGAAATACACTAGTTACCACTTGTCAACGCATCATGTTCAAATTTCAAGAGCTTATTTGGAGGGACATGGTAAATTTTTGAAACTTCTTCATCTTATTTTTATGTATCCTAAATTTACGAGTAAATTGATTCTTCACAAATTGGTCCTAGGATAAGCTTGCTATGAACATTACTACTGAACATGGAAAAACACTAGAGGATGCACCCAATGATGTGCTGCATGGACTTGGTTAGTGCCTTTGTTTCTCTTCTAATACTTGAACAAATTTTCAGCTGATAATGTTGTGCTTTAAGAAGTGTTTGATTATACTTTGTACATATAGTTGAACATGCTTGTGGATTGGCAACTCTGCAAATTGGGGAATACTTTTCCAATGTATCAAATGGAATTGATTCCTATAGTATTAGAGAGCCACTTGGTGTTTGTTGTGGGATTTGCTACTTTGACTTTCCAGCTATGATCCCTTCATGGCTAAGCTTGCCATACCTCTTTCTTTTATGGCCTTTTAATCTTGAATTGCACTATAGTGTTGGTCTAGGGAGCACATGAGAGCAATCATATTGTGTAGGGAAAAATTCAGGAAAGCAATTGCATGTGTTGCTTGTATTCAGTGATAATTGAAGAATGCATAGTGGTTGTGACCATATTTTGTTAGCTTTGTATTCTCATCTTTCAGCTATTGTTTATAATATACAAATCTTTTTATTGTTGCGTAAGGGTAAACCTTACATTGTTAATGTGCTCCTGAAGGGAAGATGATTTAACCATAGAGATGTCATTCGTTTTTATTTGATTTCTGTTTTATACACAAATGTTTCCTATTGCTGTCACATGTGGTAATACGTTTATTTTAAAGCCGTCAGAGAAGGATCCAGGTGACTGTTATGTCTTTACTTATAGTGGCTTGAAGCTCTAAAATTTTCTCTTCTCGTTACTGCTGCAAGATCTTTTTTGCTTAAATGATACCTTAAAACACTTGGATTGTAGATTTCTCTTTCCCTGACATTGATCATATCTTCAACACGAGATTCTGCATTATTTCATTAAGCACTTATCTAGGATTGTTGGACTACAATTTTGCCATATTAGTGATATTACCCAGGGATAAAAGCATCTCTATAAATTCATCAGTCCATGTTTGGTATGTTCCACATTAGTTATATTACCCAGTATTAGGTCATGCTATGTTGTCTTCATTGTAGTCTGCTGGTCCACATTTATATCTTTTTCCTTGAACCGTCACGAATACAATTCCTTTAGTTTCATAAAAAATAAAAAGAATAAAAACTTGGTCATGTTATCTGCCAAGGTGAACAGTAATGTTGTCTATCTCAAATTCTCAATGTCTGATCTGGTCACATCATGTGCTCTTTGAAGTCTTTATTTACTCCATCTTTTCTCTTTAAAACTAAATTGAATATGTTTTCTTAAAGAGATGGAAAAATATTCTAATAACAGTTCTGTTAATACGTTTATTGTTAATGCTGTTGACATACTTCTGTTAATGTAGGATCTGCCTCGGAGCAATATTCTCTATTGCATTGATTGGGGAGAAAATTACAAGCTTCCAGTAAAATTTTCAATTGCTGGTAGACGGTTCAAGTAACCACTGAGCATCAAAATTTTCAATTGCTGATGTTCTTTCCCTGCCGATATATTTGGAAGTAATATCTGTTACAAAAGCTTTTCTTGCGAAACTTATCTATCTTTTTATACATTAGTAACTGCAGAAGTCCGTGATTATTGCATTTTCATATATTCCTGAAATATCTTCCTGAAATATCTTATCTGAATTTTTTGACGATTCCACATCTTTTAGAGCGAAGTGTCAATGCTGTGGAGTTGCTGCCAATCTTTGATTTTGATGAGTTTTAGTTTCAAAGGCGCCCAAAAATTTGCTGCCAATCTTGGTGTGTATTGTGGCTTGCCTTCAACTTTTCATGTACCTGTTATTGTGAAATTTCAGAAAGTTTTTGCAACATAATTTTTTCTTTGACTATTTGGTTCATCCGAGTTGTAGAGTCTTATATGATAAATTTCTTTATTACTTGCTCTAAAACACGAATTTTCCTATCAAAAAGCTGAACTCTTATGTGATTCATTTTTAAATTTCTATTTTTTATATTAAGTTAATTGCCTCATGCAATGTTTTGTTTTTTTAACGTGAATACCATATGTTGTTCATCTGCGAACATAGTTGATAATCCCGTGGATAGTAGGCTCACTTTGGATTTCTATATGTGAGAAATTTGACCATTGAATCTAAAAGTTAACAATATAAGTTCTAAAATTTTCCTCCTTTGTTATTCTTTTTTCCTGTGTGCCAACTTAGTCAATCCGCAAGGCCAAATCTCTAGTGGAAATTTTTGCAATCTTGTGGCCTAATTTACTATTATTATTTTTTTACTTCAAAAAATGGTTCGAAGATGAGAGATCGGTAGGAAGATGAAGAATTAACTAAATAGATATGTCAAGATTTGTTGTGGATGAGTGTAGCACTATTTCATGAACTATAGATATCTATACTCGAAACCTTAGTATAGATATCTATAGTTCTATACCAAATGAATGAATACAATTTTGTTTGCACTTTACCATAATTTCGCAATTTTAATGTTGGTACTATACTCTATTGCTGGAGTACAAGAATTTCTAATTACTTCGATGACATTAATCCTATGCTTTATCTAGATTTTCCTCATTGTGCTTGAGAATTAAAAATTCGAGAAGGTAATCGCATCTTAATAGTTGAAATAAGATATCATCTGAATTTGTTTTCCAATTTTTGTTTTAGGAATGGGTGTTGGGATTGAAATATGTTTTACAATATCGTATGTTTACAGGTATATTATCATTAATATTGTGTGAGGTCATTAGTATCATTAAATGCTATCGAAACATGTTGAATGCATGTATTGAAGATGCAAAAGAAATCTAAAAGTGATGTCGAATGCATCGGTCTTGTTCCTGGTAGCGACATAGGTTTGCGTCGGCCATTTCTGTAGAACATACTGCAATCTAAAGCAATATTTTTTTTGTCATCAAAACTTGTATACTCTATAATTGTAAGATGTTCAGTATTTTTTATATTCTAGATCTATACTAGGTACCTTACAAATGCTTATAACATGTTCATTTCATTTCTCATTTCTCAAGACAATATTTAATTGGTCAATTTTTTGTATATATTATGAGGAGCTTTCATCTTCAGGCAAGTATACCACCCGATCTCACTTTCTTGTACATAATATTGCAAGCCAGGCATATCAATAGGAGTCTCACATGTCATGTGATTACAATGAAATGAATTCAGATATCTTGAACACGATCATGGGCATAAATATTTTTTACATAAAAAGAACAGTTGTCAACTTACATTAGTCCTCACAGAAGCTTCGTCTCATCATTGCCCTCTTGTTTTCAAAACCTACAGTTTTTGGCACTCTTTGTATCAGGGCATGGACTAAAAAGTTCTGATACTACAATTTTACACCTATAGCATAATTATACAACCCTAATCCCCACATTCTCTAAACAATTCTATAAAAGGCCCCAAAATCAAACAAACTACAACTTCTATGGCAATTAGGTTCTTTGGTTCACATAAAATACTCAACACCTAGCAAAATTTTCATTAGCTAATCAAAACAGCAACGAATTACGACAATTTATATTTTTCCACCATACAACTTATGTCACCAACCTAAATATACACATCTCACTAAAATTGCAAAATTTCACCTTAATAATAAACTAAACTGGAGTAAGAAAACAACATACTTGCAATCCTCGTTCACATTGATAATCATGAAACACTATTCATTTTATGTACACATCTCAATCAGTTTTGAGTGGTTGCTAACTACGAATCATTTGGAAATTTACAAGTAAAAACCAATCTGGTTCCAAACATCACTTGAAGCTCCACCAATTCCATTATATGATTGCCTGGAATGAAGGCAGAACATCAAATACAGAGGCTTCCAGTCTTTAACAAGAAGAGACACATCTTCAAAATCTCTTCAAAAGTTTGTAGTATTTTGGTACTTCCCCACACAAACCACAAGAAGAGACACATGATTAGATTTCGAAACTGATGACTGGTATCAACAAATTGTGATTAACTGATAAGAGTTGGTTCAAAGTTCATCACTTTATCCATTTCTTTAGTATTTAAATTGTATTCTGTTGACACTAATGTAATGTTAACAGTGTCAGTGTAAGAGCCATAGATTCTTAACCCCGAGGGTTCTTTGGCTCTTTAGTGAAGCATATATTGAAGGAAATCTCAAGCAAATTATTGATAAGTGTTGGGGCCAAAAATCGTCTTGGGCCTAACGAGGCCCAATAACGAAAGAAATATGTCATGGCCCAAGGCCTCAGCCCAATCTCGATTGGGCCTATGCTTAAAATCGTCTTGTGAACTACTCACTCTATGAGTTTGACTATCCTACAAGTTAAGTTGAATTGAGTTCCAGCCCATTAGCCTACAATAGTCCATAAATAGGAAATTATAATCATATTTTATTTCCCCTTCTACGGAGATTCTGAATCTTCCTCTTAACTATTAAACTTAATGGCAAGAAATCATATTTCTTTCCTGATAGGGATTACCTCCCAAAATAGGACTCACCTAATAGGATTCCAACCCCTTGGGTTCACTATATAAATATAGGTCTGCCCTCTCATAAGGGGAGGGATCTCCCATAGTCAATCTATACTACTCAAAACCCCTAAGTTCTTGCTCCCAAGAACCCGACGCCTCCGCTGCAGTCCTAGCCTTCGACAAGACTCCTGGTAATCCTTTTTTTCCTTAATTCTTATTAAATTATCTCTTTTAGCCTTATTGACTTGAGCGTCGAAGTGCCTACGGTAAGCACCACCCCGGTGTTTTCCATAAGCTTCACGCTTGTCTTTCATGTGTGCAGGTCTAGCGGATTGTTAGTGGCCTCAACCTCATGGGATCCAACCCTATTTCTACAACTATAGATTTTTTGCATCTATAGTTTGGCGTCCACCATGGGACCTTGACAATCATTTGCCAATCATGACTTGCAACATGAGGGGAGACACAAACCTCACTTTTACTGACATCGTTAATCAGAAAGCTCAATCACGATAAGAAAAAAATTTTCTTTATTTTTCTTCATTTGTTTTATCTATTCACATGTCATATTATATCTATTCAGCACATCATAATTTTTTTAATGTTATGTCTATCCCGCGAGTAGTATGATACTTTGAAGCCTCAAAACACATCTCCCATGTTCGTAATAAGTTCATGCAACTCTCTTTTTCTTCTTAGCAATAAAGGAAAGGTACACATGTTATTCGGCTCTGCAAAGTGGGCACATTCCAACCAGCTCTTTTAGGGGAATAGCCAGCTTTGTTCTTCACACCTCAAACCACTACCGAAATCTCAGAAGCATAGAACTCACCTCCTTACTCCTCCAAGATTGAGAACCCACGAGAAATCCACTAAAACCCACCAGAAAAAAACCAATACCAAGACTCTTTCATGCATATTCTTTTTCGACTTCTCCTCCAAAAATACGCAAAACTCAATAAACCCATGAAACACATTCAGCCTCCTCTAAAAAAACAAAGCCACCAAGCGTTTGGTAAATTATTCCACTACAGAACTTCGTCTTTTTCCAAAAGTTCACCCACCTCACAACAAATCCAACCCAAATTATTTGCTTTGCCACTCTCCACCCTTCTTCTTCTCCACCTATAAATTCTCCCTTTCCCTCTTTCTTCTCATGCACTCTTCCCCTCTCTTTTATTTATACCAATGCCAGCCTCCTCCAAACGCCAGCAAAAGGAAGCCTAATTGCCCCCTTCTCTCCAGTAATCATATCTAAAAACCAAAAGGATTCTCTCACCATCCAAACACTACTCAAAGAGAGGAAGTCACACCCTTCCTTCCCTTGATTTCTCTTTTCTTTCTCCCTCACTCGTTCGCACTTCTTCATCTAAATCTTTAACTCTCAATCATGTTTCTTTCAGAATCCTCCAGAAGTTCTCTCATACCAAGCTTCCTCCACTCATATTCTTCTCCTCAGATATGATTACTCCAAACCTTATGTCGATGCTCCTACTGCGCTGTCAGCTCCTTCCTCCACCAGGCGGAGCTTCTTTGAGCCCGTTCCCAATGAGCCTGGCAAGATTGAGATGTACTCTCCTGCATCCTACGCCACCTGTACTGTCGGCGTGTAAAACCCCCCTCCAGTCAAGTATCCTCTAAATATCCCTAAATGAGAATTCCGGGGATACATGTCTGGAGAACGAGTTGTATTTAGAAAAAAAAACATGGGTAGGGATAATAATAATAATAATATCCGAAACATGCATATAAAATGTCATGCAGGATCCAAGCTTATAATTTCAAAACTTCAAGAATTTATCTATAAAATACACAATCAAAACATATTTATAGGGTGGAAGATTCCAAAAGGTGTTTCACAAATATTTATCATTTACATTATTTACATCAAGATAAAAACATCGAGATGACAATAAATCATCTCCCCTCATATGACAATAAATCATCTCCCCTCATGTGTAGCCCCGCTGTCTCTAGCATCCTTCGTTTTTGGTCTACCTGCAAAGCAATCAACAATAAAATGGTGAGCGCTAATCACTTAGTAATGAATGATCCATTTCATTCTAAATGTGCTATTTGACCTTTATTTAAATATATTTGTTAACACATCACTTATCTTTTACATCTAGGGATACTTCCCCTTTTATTTTATTTTTCCT